GATTGAAGTTTTAGCTGAAATTTGGTATGAGTAAACCAAACTTGATGAATAAAATGCTCAAACTTTTCATCAAAAAATTCCACCGGAAACCGCCTCAAATCGCGACGGCCGGACAAAGCCTTCCATATAAGGACTTATTTGATCTTTTCATGAAAGTTTGAGGACCTATTTGATAGTTTTTCCTGAATTATTTGAGTAGAGACGATACTGATGAAGCATGGGCCTTCGGCTATCAAAGAAAGGGAGTATTTGCCCAAGCTTAAAACGAGTAGGGCTGGGCACGGGCCGGGTCTGGGCGGGTAATGCAAAATAAAATGGAACCGCCGGTTCCATTGTACGGTTCGGTCCGATCCGGGTATTACAATTTTCAAAATAGGAACCGGAAATTACTCGGCCCGTTTGAAACGGGTCGGTCCGGTCCAGGTTTTACGGTTTCTATTCTCATGTCTTGAAATTAGTAAAAACTCACAAAGTTCCAAAAATCAATAATATAGGACGTTAGTAAGTTTCAAAATAACAATATAGTGGTGCACATATAACACAAGCGAAAAGTCCAATACTCCATAATTTCTTGTATATAAGTTTTAAACAATTAAAGAAATTCCAAAAATATGCAACATAGCCAACATACATATTTTCTAACATTTGTATTTGAACATGTTGTCTAACATCACATATTAAAGTGATTGCTTTTTTTAATATTAAATTTTCAGTATTAGCCAAAGTTGACACATACATGGTGGGTGGTAAACATAATTTATATATTTTAATAACAATATAATACAAAAAATATAACAAAATCATCTTTAACAAATAATTAAATTCCATAAAAAGGAATAATTCAATAACAATAAAAAGTAATACTACGTACGATATTTATGAAACATTTAATCAATAATTTGAAAACAAAAGGATGTTACTGCAACTCAATTTAAAATCCTACTTCTAGCAAAGGAAACAAAACTATTTCAAAACCGATTATCACAAAACTATTAATAAATTAATATACAATATAATTATATATATATATATATAGAGGACTGCTCAGGTCCCTCCAGAGGGACGGGAGGGACCGTCCGAACATTACTGTTTGGGGCGGTTCCCGGTGGAATTTTTTGATGAAATTTTTTGAGCATGTTCCTCATCAAGTCTAGTTTGTCCATACCAAATTTCAGCTCAAAATTCGATCGGGAAGGCAGTCAAATAAATTCTTGAAACTTACTGCACTTTATATATGCGCAGAATGTGAAGTAAGCTTCAAGAATTTATTTGACTGCCTTCCCGGTCGAATTTTGAGCTGAAATTTGGTATGGACAAACTAGACTTGGTGAGGAACATGCTCAAAAAATTTCATCAAAAAATTCCACCGGGAACCGCCCCAAACAGTAAAGTTCGGACGGTCCCTCCCGTCCCTCCGGAGGGACCTGATCTTTTCTGTATATATATATATATATATATATATATATATATATATATATATATATATATATAGAGGAATGTTCATGTCAGGCCGGCCTGACGGGCTGCTCTGTCCGGCCGAGCCCGTTTGGGCACCTTCCCGGTGGAATTTTTTGATAAAATTTTTTGAGCATGTTCCTCATCAAGTCTAGTTTGTCCATACCAAATTTCAGCTCAAAATTCGATCGGGAAGGCATTCAAATCATTTTTTGAAGTTGACTGCAGTTTTATATGTATATTTTGACGCAGTCAACTTCAAAAAATGATTTGAATGCCTTCCCGATCGAATTTTGAGCTGAAATTTGGTATGGACAAACTAGACTTGATGGAGAACATGCTCAAAAAATGTCATCAAAAAATTCCACCGGAAAGGTGCCCAAATGGGCTCGGCCGGACGGAGCATCCCGTCAGGCCGGCCTGATGAGAAGAGCACTCTATATATATATATATATATATATATATATATATATATATATATATATATATATATATATATATAGAATGGGCTGGCATTCAAATGAATTTATTTGAATGCCTTCTCGATTATTATTATTATTATTATTATTATTATTATTATTATTATTATTATTATTATTATTATTATTATTATTATTATTATTTTTATTATTATTATTATTATTATTATTATTATTACTATTATTACTATTATTACTATTATTATTATTATTATTATTATTATTATTATTGATGTTGTTGTTGTTGTTGTTATTGTTGTTATTGTAGTTGTTATTGTTGTCATTGTTGTTGTCATTATTATCATCATCATTATTATCATCATTGTTGTTGTCATTATTATTATTATCATTATTATCATTATTCTTATCATTATTTTTATCATTATTGTTATCATTATTGTTATCATCATTGTTATTATCATTGTTATCATTATTGTTATCATTATTATCGTCATTATTATCGTCATTATTATCGTCATTATTATTATCATTATTATTATCATTATCATTATCATCATTATTATCATCATTATTATCATCATTATTATTGTTATTATAATTATTATTATTGTTGATGTTGTTGTTGTTGTTGTTATTGTTATTATTATTATCATCATCATCATCATCATCATCATCATCATCATCATCATCATCATCATCATCATCATCATCATCATCATCATCATCATCATCATCATCATCATCATCATCATCATCATCATCATCATCATCATCATCATCATCATCATCATCATCATCATCATCATCATCATCATCATCATCATCATCATCATCATCATCATCATCATCATCATCATCATCATCATCATCATCATCATCATCATCATCATCATCATCATCATCATCATCATCATCATCATCATCATCATCATCATCATCATCATCATCATCATCATCATCATCATCATCATCATCATCATCATCATCATCATCATCATCATCATCATCATCATCATCATCATCATCATCATCATCATCATCATCATCATCATCATCATCATCATCATCATCATCATCATCATCTGAATCTATTTGGATGTAAGTCAATACTATCATTTGTTATTTAGCTTATTCAAAAACACTTCGTTTTATATTATAAACAATATGGTGTGATCTCTCAAAAAAACAATATGGTGTGTTAGAGTATTAATTGTGATCAATTATCATTAAAATTCTGGTATAATGTGTTTCCTTTTCTAGACTCTTTAGAATATGAGCCTTTATATTTATTAGGAAACATGACCCTAAATGTTTGGGCCCATAATAATTATTGTACCTGAACAAATACTTATTTATAAATACTTACCTCATTAGGATTCTGAGAGCTGTCGTAGTGAGAACACATTCATACCTGCAACTGAGAGTGAGAGCAGAGAGTATTCTCCGTGTAAAGCTCTTGATCATTATCAATGAATATTTCCTTGCTTCTCTTTTCATTCCTTTCTTGAATCATTATTTGTTATTGTTGATTTCTGGGTTCCAACACGATGTTTTTCAATCCTACATTAGACTGACTTCCGATCAAATTTTAAGCTGCAATTTATGGAGGTAATCTACACTTCGTGGGGAACATGCTCACAATTTTTCATAAAAAAATTCACCGAAAAGCCCCTCAAATGGGCTTGGCCAAACGGCGGTTCTTGTGATGCCGTCATGGAAGGAACACCACTCTTAGTAAACATTCTAGAAAGCTAAGATTACATACTAGTTAATGGAGCTTCACCGGCTATCAAATTGACCCAATTAGGAATATTTGTATTAATGCTAAACAATTGTCTGGGCATTAGATTTGCTTGGGGTTTCTATGCTTATTGTAGGGATCCTTTAAAGAACTTGTGTTTTTGGGTCTTTTGGGTGTCAAAGCACTAGATTGCAAATGCTTATACCGGGATGTCAAGCTCCTTGGGTGACCACCATTTGGAGCAATTGAGATAAAGTTCTTTGTTTTTCTTTCACCAGTGATTTTTTATCATCTTTAGCTTTTGCATTTTTTACTTTCTTTCTTCATTTATTTATGTATTTCTTTATAATTTCATCAATAAAATTGGGTTTCAAATTAAAAAAGACATTCTAGAAAGTTAAAATTTTGAAAATTCACATTAATAAAAATTTAATGACATTTTATGCATCATAATTTAATTATATATATGATGTTTTTACTCGGACTGTTTTCAATCCCAGACCAGACCACACCAGATCAGACTAGACCAGATCAAACCATATCAGACCAGAATTGGATGGTGATGGAGTTTAATCCAACTACAAGAGCTGTATCTACAAAAGCAGATGAAATATTGGTAGCGCGAGGCAGTGTTTATTGCTCCAGGGTTCGGATCCTTTGATAGGACATATACATGAAGTATTTATAGACTCTAAGAGCTAGTATTTTAGGAGGAAACTGATACAAAAAATGCTATTAATTATATTCTAATCAAATAGAACTCTTGTAACGTCTTGGATGTTGTGCAATGATCATCTCCTTAAAGTCCACGTTCTTCCGTCGAATCATGTCTGCTGCCAGATAGCTATGCTCAAATGACAGCCTGTCACGTAAGCCCTAGGAATATCCCGGGCTCACTAGAATCCGCCCAGGCTCGAGGTCTGCTGTCCAGCCTGGCCTAGTTGTGGGTTCCTATCGTGGGCCTGATCCCTAATTTGGCCCAGCGGCTTATTAATGTTAATCCCGTTTAGGGCTTGATCCCGTTTATGGGTTAATCATACGAAGTATTTATTAGGCTAATCCCGTTGAGAGATGATCCTGTTATGGGCTGGATTCCGTAGTTGGGCCATGGTCCGAGTCCATGGTGCCATCAGATGATTATAAAATACATAGAGACCAGACGTTTATCAGACCAGATCAGATCGACAAATTTCAGTCTAACAAAAAAACATCCATATTAATAGAAAATTATGATCAAAATAAAATGTGTGAATAGTGTAAGAATTACAATCTTGCGATTATTGAAGAAGGGAGGCAGTATTAAATTAAACAATTTAAAAGAGGGAATCTATCTCATCTCATATGACCTAATCTAATTTTAATTAGCGTAATCGTATTGAAGGCCGAAATGGCAGGGAGAATCACTAAATTCGTGGGAAAGAAGACAAGTGGCGGGACAAATAATACTGATGCATACATATGTATATACAAAAAAGCTTCCATCCGCAGCCCGTTGTCGTCACCAACGCTCTTTTATCACGGGAAAGCCGGGAGAACAACGTCGTCATCATCAATGCCGCTCTCTCCCTTCTCCCTCCGTCCATACCCTTTTGCTGATCAGATTTGTATTTAATACCAATATCACCTCCTCATCCTTCAACCCCAAAGAGGATCATTCATTCATTCATCAACCAATAGAGGTTCGGAGAAATAAGAAACATCAAAATCTGCTTTGTTTGTTGATAATTCTCCGAGGATTTTGCATCAAATTCTGAGTGGGTCGTTGTGAGGCGCCTTCGTTCCAGGTGGCAGGCATCGTTCTTTCCCCGATTTACAGAGGCGTTCATAGGGCTTGAAGAATCATGGATAAGAAGAAGTATCCGATTGGAGCGGAGCATTATGAGCTATTCGAGGAGATAGGGCAAGGAGTTAGCGCCTCCGTTCATCGTGCTCTCTGTATTCCACTCGATGAGATCGTCGCTGTCAAAATCCTTGACTTTGAACGTGATAACTGTGATCTGGTAATTCATTTATTTCATGTAAACTACTACTCCCTATGATATAGGGCAATTGTCATGGTGAAGCTACTGAAGTCCATATATGGAATGTTGTTGCTCTTCTCTGCGCATATCTTGACAACAGATTGTGGAATGGACGCTTGAATTTGACACCATGTTCTTCATACGGAGTATTTTTTTTTTTTTTAAAGTCATTGCATTACAAAGTACTCAGTCTCCCAAATAGTTGGAACCTACAAAACAATGATTAAATCATCAGTTTTTTTTTGTTCTCAATTCATGCAATGATTAAACACGTTCTGTTTTTAAAAAAATGTTTTTTGTATATGGAAACATAAATTTAATAAGGTCAAATAATAAGTACATAACATTCTTCAATGTCCATGAGGGAAAGTAGTCATGCAATGTTTAAGTAGCTCCCTGGGAGGTGTCTTTACACAATCGTTTCTTAGGTTACAGTAGGTTTTGCTTGAACTCAGTAACTTGCTTAAGACTTTTCTACTCAGCCACAATTTTTTTTTAAAATTAATTTCTACTTATGAAGCTGTATGATAGGAATTCGTCTGTTTATCTGATTCTTGCCATTTGATCCAGAGTAACGTCTTCCGTGAAGCACAGACAATGGTCTTGGTGGACCATCCAAACGTTCTTAAATCCCACTGCTCCTTTGTCAGTGATCATAATTTGTGGGTTGTCATGCCTTTCATGGCTGGGGGTTCTTGTCTTCATATTTTGAAGGCTGTACATCCCGATGGTTTTGAAGAGGTTGTCATTGCAACAATATTGCGTGAAATACTAAAGGGTTTAGAGTATCTGCATCACCATGGACACATTCACAGAGATGTGAAAGTGAGTTTCCTATACATATTATATACTTTTTCATGCCTGTATGGCTGTATATACCAATTTCTTCTCGTGTTCGGTCCATTCTTTGGATTATGTGTGAGCATTGCATATTGTTTCATCGGGTAACTTAGCATGTTTAATTCGAGACTAATCAATTTCTAGTTCTGTTTTTTTGGTACTATTGGATGACTTTAATGGGCTCTTAGTTTCACCTGGGTGAGCGAACATGATACAGTTATTTATTATGAACCAAAGATCAAGTTATATATTTTTCCAAAGGAATTCACTATTGCATCCTTTTTCTTTTTAAATTCTCAGGCTGGAAACATTCTTATTGATGCGCGAGGTGGAATTAAACTAGGAGATTTTGGAGTCTCTGCTTGTCTGTTTGATTCAGGTGACAGAACACGCATGAGAAACACTTTTGTTGGCACACCTTGTTGGTAAGCCTTATATTGATGTAATCTTTTGTTTTTTAATATCTCTCTATGTTTTGTTGCACCACAAGAGGTTTGGAAGCATGTTGATCAAGCTATTCCTAAGTAATACTAATTTAGTAGTTTGATTTAACCACTTTTCATTCCGACAGGATATTATATGACATGGAGTTATTTCTTTATTTACAATTATCTATCAATTAATTTATTTTTCAGGATGGCACCAGAAGTTATGGAACAGTTAAATGGATATGATTTCAAGTAAGTGAAGTTATCTTTTCCCTCTCCTTTGTAATCTTAGTATTCATGCACATTTCCTTGCCTGTTTTATTCTGGCATACTTCAGAGCAGATATTTGGTCTTTTGGCATAACTGCGTTGGAGCTTGCTCACGGCCATGCACCATTTTCAAAGTATCCTCCAATGAAGGTGAAAGTCATAGCATGATTGGATTTCCTTCCCTCCTTTTTCTGCACCCTGGAACCATTACAATGTCATAATATTTGTTACATTACTTAATTATCAGGTGCTGTTGATGACACTGCAAAATGCACCTCCTGGCCTTGATTACGAAAGAGACAAGAAGTTCTCCAAGGTATGTTGTCAAGAAATATCTTTTGAGAATTGTGAGTACTGATTTTGACTTGTTTTACTTCTTATCTTAGTCGTTTAAGCAAATGATTGGTAGCTGCTTGGTAAAAGAGCCTTCAAAAAGACCTTCAGCCAAGAGGTTGTTGAAGCATTCTTTCTTTAAACAAGCTCGGTCCAATGATTATATCGTACGGACATTATTGGAGGGTTTGCCAGCTCTTGGTGATCGTATTAGGGAGTTGAAGGTTACCCCTGAATCTTAAATCTCTCCCCCCCCGCCCTCACACGTATTGTGAGAGATGCTCTATTGATATTATTGCCTCTGTTTTGTACTCTATACTAATACTAATGATAGGTTCTTTCAAATAATGTAGAAAAAAGAAGAACAAATGTTGGCGAAAAAGGAAATACCAGATGGTCAAAAGGAAGAAATATCACAGGTTTTCTTTTTATGTTTTCATAGCTGCACTAACTGTCCAAATGAATGATAATACTCCGATTGTTAAAACTCTTCAGTCTAAAGGATTGCCAGCTTAGCATTTCATAGCATTGTAATGTTATTTTTTATTAATTCAGTTTTTATTCTCTGTTTTTATTTATTAATATTTATATTTTGGTGCTCCCCGGGGACCCTTATTCGTAGTGGGGCATATTGGACTTGTTTGGCTTTATTTGTTTGTTTGTTTGTTTGTTTGTTTGTTTGTTTGTTTGTTCGTTTGTTTTAATTTATCTGTATTTTTTATTAGTTGCTTTATTATTTCTAGCAAGATTTGTTTATAGTCAAAATTTCAAGTTTAACTTATCCTGTATTGTCTAACCTTAATGTCATTTAGCACTGACATGTTGTAATGTATGACAGATTGACTATTATGTTGTAATGTGTGAACAGTATTCACAATTTCCCTAAAAAAAAGACAATATTCACAATAAATCAAGAGAATTTTGGGGTTTATTTATCTTATGATAAAAGTACCTTGAAACAATTACCCTTTGATGCTGTTGGCAGTCTGCAGAAAGGGCGTTTATTAAAACATTTTATGTGTTATTAGTTTTTACATAAATATATACATACACACATATATGTATGAATATATATATATATATATATATATATATACATATATCCGGAAATAGTCTCCTTGTGCTTTAGTACAGGGGTAAGGCTGCGTACATCCGACCCCCCCTTACCCCACCGTAGGTGGGAGCCTTTGCGGCACTGGGGTAATGATGATGATGATATGTATATATATAATATTCATACAATATATAGTACTCTTAACAAATAACTAAAATACAATTTGCAAATATTAATAACACAATTTTAATCTATTGAAACTACTCAAACTAGTAGATATTCTCCATGTTTTATTTTGAATATTTTTGTTTAGCCACATATTTTTAAAGTAGCTTATTTTGACGTTATTATTCTCATTGACGTTTTATATTGATGTTAATTTTGAAGAAGTGACTTGTAGAATGTGATTTGTTATTTTTGTTAATATTAATTTGTTATATGTGTTATATGATATACTTGTATGTGATATGAATTGAAAATGGGGCAAAAAGGACTATAGATTTTTAAATACTTTGATAAATTTAACATTGAATTCTTTTTTAATTCGAATATTCGAATGAGATTCGAACATATATGAATACAACAAACAAAGTGAATACAAATATCAAATGAGATTCGATTATTAAATGAATTTGAATATTCACCAACTTAAACGAATAATAACTTAAGCGAATACGAATATTCACTAACTTAAACGATTACGAATAATAATGTCAAGTATTCGGTTCGATTCGTTTACACCCTAGTATTTTTACCAGCAAAATGTTTTTCTAATCTACAATACTATTTGATAATTCAAGCTTTAGGAAATCCAAGCTTTGTACATTACATTACCTTTGCTGGTATAAAAAGGGAAAGTTAAAGGTCATTTACTGATACAGAATGAACTAATGTACATAACATTACCTCTGTTGTAAAGGTCACGCTCTGATGATGATTTGATACTTCCTATTCTTTTACATGACATTGTTCTTTCTTACTTCAAGGATCTCAGCTCACTATGCTCTTCAAAATCATGTGCAGAATGAGTATAAGCGCGGGATAAGCAGCTGGAACTTCAACCTTGAAGATCTAAAGGCCCAGGCTTCTTTGGTAGACTTAAAAATGCTTTATTCTAATGATTATGCTTCTCTGTAGCATATCAGATACGCCTTGCCCCAAAATATAAATTTAAAATCTCACATAAAATAAAAATTAACAAAACTGGTTAGGACATATTGGTGTCCTCAGAAAATGTAAATATTTAGCATTAGTTCAAGGAAAAATGTTCTTTGGAATCCCATGGTTAAACTGATTATTTGACTTTGCACCCCAATCTTGAGTATGTTGGGTGCATGATCAAAGAAAAACTTGGGGATAGGAAAAATGGTCAAATGGACTCTTGTACTATATAAAATCCATCACCTAATCTGCTATACTCGAAAAAGTATCTTATAATAACTCTTGCTTTCAAATATATAGTTAATCCAGTCATTTGATCCTTCAAAAAATTGGGAAAATTGTTATAATTTGAAAAAAAACATTGAAAAAAATATAAAAATTGTAAAAATACGAAGACCTATAAAGTATCAGGAAAAGATAAAAGCTTTAAAAATAAAAAAAATAGGAAAAGTGTAATTTAGAAATAGTTAAACAAAATGCAAAAAAAAATCAAGGGGGAATTCTGCAGAAAAGTCTCTTCTCATAGGAGGGACAAGGCAACATATGAAAAGGGCAAAAAATGAAGAACAACGGAAAGAAGGAAAATGTAAAACAACAATTGAGAGTGTAAAAGAGAGAGAGAGAAGTCAGAGAACCACTGGGCAACAGAGAAGGAAAAACTGAAGAGGTTAGCCGAACAAGGAAACAAGGAAAAATAAAATAGATATAGTTTATCCTCTTGACAAGGTAAGGGAAAAACAGAAAATATAACTTGTACTCTTAAGAAAGAAAGAAGAGGAAAAGGAGAAAAAAGTTGTGGGGTGGGAGGATTTGCTGAAAAGGAAAAATGGGGGTTGTTGAAAATGAAGAGAATAAAAAATGAAAAGCAACCAATGAAAGAAGGGGTGCAAATGTCGGATTATATTCAAAGGTCTGTTTTGAGGAGACTGTTGAAATATAATATTTTTGGTTTCACATTGTCCTACTTATAATATCAACTATCAGGGTTTAGCAGTTTAGGTGATTTGAACCTCCAAGTTTCTCAATCAAAGGGAAAATTGATTTGTACCTATGCCTTCAAAGGAAAAAAACATGGGACATAGGGTCAAATATTTTGATAAACCATTGGGTGGGAAGACCATTTTTCGTTTTTCCTTTCAGCTACCAGACGAGGAAATTATATCTGACAAGGACCAGGTTGGGAGCTCACAGTGTCTTCTAGGACTAGAGATTAATGGAAAGCAACTTCAACACCAATCTTCTTTTCTCAGCCGATGTTCAGACACTGCAGAAATGGTATGTTATTGCAATTTTGGGTTGAATACTTTTGGCTGTATTTTTTCTTGCTAAAGATGAGTATGTATTCACAGGATGATAACAACCAATCTGCTCCTCTCTCACCTGTTGACCCTACATTAGCTTGCAACATGTATGTGCCCACAATTCTTTCCAAAGTTATAGCATGGTGGTGTTATTTCATTCAAATTCGAACTTTTTTGGGCATATTAGGAAAATTTTAAATTTCAACTCCTTGAGCAGCACTATCCATCTACGCTATAGAACTTAATACTTTAATAGATTTTATATTGACATTAATGGTAGGAAGTATGACTTCCCATGCTTTTTACAGAGAAAAATGTGAAAAATCAGATGATGATTCAAGTCTTGCTGGTTCAGTCCTGGACAACCAAATCTCTAAAAATTCTCCTCGTGAGAACCACATAGAAAGAAATTTACCTGGCAAATCTGAACTCGATTTTGATGGAAAATTGTCTGAGAGCTCACCTACAGATTCTCACCAGAGGTACCAAGTTTGTAAAACGAAAAAAAAAACAGCACACAAGTGTTCTCTATACATAAACTTTAGGGAAAAGTACGGAAAAGGTACTTGTGGTTGAACCCTTTTTCAGATAGGGTCATGTGTTTCATTCTTTATCAAAGTGGTTCATGTCTTTGAATTTTGTTATCACAAGAGGGTCACACCGTAAAAAACGTCTGGAAAAGACCGTTAAAAGTACCTCCGATTTTCAAAGGTGCACGGAAAATTAAAAGAGAAATACCAAAAGGTGCTCCTCGTCAAGATGACCTCCAAACCACCTTCGCCTTTGGATTTTTCAGATCTGTTTGGATTATTTTTTAAAAATGATTTCGCAAATATGTACTTTTCCGATGGACTTTCCGGTGACAAGGGTGGCTGATAACAAAAAAGAAAGATGACATAACGGTCGTCTTATTGAGGCGCACCTTCCGGTATTTTTCTTTTGATTTTCTGGGCACTTTTGAAAATCGGAGTTACTTTTAAGGGTCTTTTTCAGACATTTTAACGGCGTGACACTCTTGTGATAACGAAATTCAAACACATGAACCACTTTGATAAAGAATGAAGCACATGACCCTATCTAAAAACGGGCCCAACTACAAGTACCTTTTCCGTACTTTTTCCTAAACTTTATAAGCATTATAGTTAAAATATACTCCATAGATATTAATATGGATAGAGAACTCCTCTGTGTTCCTGTGCAATGTGGAACGTTTACAAAACACATTCATTCAACATTATCATCACCCATTAATTTTATTGCATAAAATGCATGTTCAGCACTTCAACACCGACCCTTGCAACATGTAAACAATTTTTGGATAGTGCAGAAACTTATTGTACTTGGTTTTTTTCAGGTGATAAGTCTTTTATACGTACTTGGTTATATATCTGCAACATAGAATCACTGGTAAAGAATTATTAGGATAAAATACTGCAAGATAATATAATTTATCCTTTTGGAATATAACATAAAATAAAGGTCATATTACTTTTATAAGTATACAATATTATAAAATAAAATAGTCACAAACACGTACATGTCTCTGCATACACACACACACACTATAATAAAGTGTTTCCTATGCAAAAAAGAAGTAAGGGAAAACTGTCAAATTGGCCCCCCTACTAATACAGAAAAGTCAATTAAGCCCCTGAACTCAAAAAACACTCAATTAAGCCCACGAACTATAAAAAACGAGGCAAAACAGTCCTTTTAGCAGGTAATTAAACAGTTAAAAAGAGATAAGGAAAAAAGGAAAGAAAGAGAAAAAGAGAAAAAGAAAATGTAAAAGCATGCCACATCATTTGCCACACATGCAACTTAACTGGGAACGGTTAATATCCTGCTAAAAGGACTGTTTTGCCTCGTTATATTTAGTTCGTGGGCTTAATTGGATGTTTTTTGAGTTCGGGGGCTTAATTGACGTTTTTGTATTAGTAGGGGGCCTATTTGACACTTTTCCCAAAGAAGTAATCTTAGCCAATATTTTGATAAATTGGATGGATCATATAAAATTTTAATGTTAAAAGCGTTGGCATAATCTGATTACAGAAAAAAACTAAATGACAGCACAATAATAAAAGTGCATTAGTTTACTTAAAACGTGCATGAGTTTTTAATGAAAGTGCATCAGTAGGTGATATGAATAAAACCAGGCATAACAATTTTATATATACATCAAATGTACTTATATTATAACACACTTCACCTTTTCATTAAAGGTTACACATTTGAGTTGCATGTATTATGATTATGTCAGTGCATTTTTAAATTATAGAATCATCTAATTAATCTGTTTTTTGGTGATTGAAGTCCTAGATTTATTCTTATTTTTTCAAATGAAAAGAGGTCTTCCCATTTATAGCTCAAATATATTTATAGTTCAAATATAAAAGAGGTCTTTTCATATACATACATATATGAAAAGGATCACACGATTTGGCCTATTATCAATTCAGCAGCCCTGATTTTTCACTCATTAGCATTAACTATTAATTTTAACGATTGGATCTTCAATTTGTACGAAGTTAGACACTTGAAGCTTACCTTTTCAGCATCACACTTTATCTAACGCTTAAGATTATCATTATATGAATTTTCAAAATCAAGTTAACATTAATAGTTGGTGTTAATGAGCGAAAAGATTTACCGTTATATAATTTTTAGGAAAAAAAAAAACAGAGTGGGCCTCAAATGAATTGTTCTGAAGTAGTCTTTATAAGTTCCTGTGAAGCAATATGTACTTCAATCAATCACCCTTATCTCTATATTCTCAGTGACAAAGTTTCACCTCATAACAACTCAACTTGCAATGATGGACCAGCTGAAGCTGTTCATAGAACTAGTAAAATATCGAGTGAGTTACTATTTTTATTATCTTTTCTATCATCAACATATCTGGTATGCCGCAGTTTATGCTAATTTTAGGTAATTCATTGAACACAAACTAATGAATGCTCCAGCAAATGGTGAAGATTCTGATGAGAAGACAAAGGGCCCTGTTGTTCAGCAAAAAGGACGTTTCAAAGTTACCTCTGAGAATTTTGATTTGGAAAAGGCGAGTTTAGTTACTATTTAAGTAGTTTAGTCCATGGCAGTCGTCAATGAAAACTTGCCTCGTGACAAAGTGCTTCCTCATGTAGGTTGCTGCCCCCTCAGTAATACAAAAAAGCCACAGCGTGCAGGTTGGTTACTTCTCCCAGTCCAAATTTCCTGATCAGAACTTGTCTCCCGTAGGACTGTCTGATGTTGACTTTTAACAACATTAATACTACGTACCCGCCATTCCAATAAGGATTCCTTTTTAAAAAATTGTCCCGAAGAAAGTGTTACGGAGTGTTTCATAGAAGAGAGTTAAACTTTCATATAATTTGGAAAAAAAATCAACAAGTTCAATAGTCTACAAGATTAACTTTCTCATAACTCTTTTTGGGATGAATTAAATATTTATACTTAAAATATAAATTTAATATCAATCACATATTTCAACTTGCTATAACATGTGTGTCACTTTATCAGATCCCAAAGATAGTAGGACGTAGGTAGTACTTTTAAACATAAAATTGAAAAAGTATTCCCTCTATTTAAAAGATTCATTTTGAGTAAATTACAACTTATTTTGAAGACTATTTGCTATAATAATTGTGTGAAACCACTTCACAATTGGCTTTATAGAAATTCTACTTAAAAATTGAAAGTTTACTTTCAATTCCATTTTAAAAGAGTTTTTGATATAACACATGGTTTAGGGGAGGGAGTACACATTCTGCTCAAATGTATTACCACCTACTTAATCTGAATAGGTTTCAAACGGAGGATGATGTCTATATCTACATAGCAATCAAGTAATTGCTATTTTTAAACAAAAGAAGTTAAATGGGACAGTCTCAATTCTAGAAAGAAAACATTGCTGAGTCGTGACATATACTGGTGCATAATGGTGAGATTAACAAGTATCTTTTACATTTATGCAGACTCTTGCACATTCATCTGTGTCTCATTCGTTGCCATCAGATTGCATGGCGTCAAACATTCCTGTCAATTTGTTTTTCCGAACATTGCAAAATATTTTGCAAGCAAATATTTTGCAAAGGGTGAGCAGTGTCCTGAACTTCGATGCAATCTCTATTTAGAAGAAACTAAATGTTGCTTGCTCAACTCCACTTTAAAATTCCATGTCAAGTTTTTATAATATCTTGAGATTGTAACTATTAGTGGAGTTAGAACTAATCATTTATTTTTTTAATACAAGTCTCGATAGCTCTTTGGAAAAAGAAAATACCAAATATGAAATGGTGTGGAAAAGAAGTTTTGAACTTCTATTTGCTATGTCTATTTTGTTGTCATAAATATATATAGGGATGACTAAATATATATTTAAGCCTTCATTAAGCATTTTTATTTTCAACCAAAATAAACCCAGTTTTCCATTTTCCGTTTAAAAAAACTGAGGTTTCCCCATTTGCATGAGGAGTTGGTAAGATGCTTGTTTCATGTAACAGGAAAACATCCTTGGCCTGATGAGGCAAGCCTCTAGTTCTGATTCTATTGGTAATAGGAATTAAAAAGTTACCTTCTATATATATTTTTTATTTGCTCACGTTATCCTTCTTTATTAAAGCATTCAACTACCTCATGCAGTGGACGGTGCAGGCGTTTCCTTGAACCAAGGGACAACAGATAAATCTTTGGTACGTGCTTTGTTAGGCACCACAATATGACAGCCTCAACTCACACACACACAAAGGAATTAGAGAGAATAGTTTTTACATTTTCAAGCTATGATGTGCCATGAATATATAGTAAAAGGATGCACGATCACCGCTAGAACTACGACAGCTTTGATGGGAGGGATAAATTGGTTACATTGGAACTTAGTGGGACCTCGCATGTTTGATAAATATCTTGTCAAGTTATGCTTATGTACCTGTTGTTCCAATTGTTACAATTAGGAGAGGAGTAGTAGTAGTAGTATTAGTAATAATAATAATAAAATTATATCGATAATAATAAATAATAATAAATAATAGTGACACTAATGATTCTTAATTAGGTATATTTGAATAGATAGGTTAAATATATTGCATGCTTTTAGGGGGTTGTAATTTATTACTCCGTAGATTGTTAGGTATGTTTATGATACGATAACAGGGTGTCAATTAGTGAACTGGGAGTTGCATTTTGAGAGTTGTATGTATGAACCATCACCATGGCTGCAATGAAGCATGATATGAAATACTAGTCTTCCTCTGTATTGTTACTTCCCTTTTTCATTGCCCCTTGTTTGAATCAAATGTAGGGGAGGAAGAAAAATGGAGAAGTTGAAAAAGTATTAATGTTAGGGTGCCTGGAGTTTGGGAAGGAATTATTATTTGTCATGCAAAATCTCCCATTTTTGGGACGTGACGTATGAGAGAAGTCCATGACTCCTCCACTTCCTCCCCAAACCTTCCAGTTAAACAAACACAAATTACTCCTCCACTTTCCTCCCCACCCTTCGGATACCCTTCAACTCTCGAGGTGTTTAAGATGGAGCATGAAAGTATTTCTCAAGCACTACAATAATTACTTTGATTTAGGGAAACGACATAGTATTCATACTTTGGAATTTTACATTTTTTTACTTTTACTTAGGGAAGTTTCTTTTGAATATACTACTTATCATACATTATTGATCAAGACCGTATCAATTCGGGCATGATGACATTTTCTCACTCCACATCATCATATTCATACAAATATGTATTGCTCCAAATGTTATGTCTTCTTATAGCTCCTACTGGATGTCTTAAGTTCCTAACCATTTGCCTTCAATGCCAACACTAATTGTAATTCCCTGGTTAACTGTAGCTGGAGGTAGCCCATGATAAAGAGAAGGAATTACTTCGCGAAATCAGTGACTTACAGTGGAGGTGCGTTTGATGGTGCAAACATTTTTGCGACACTCTTGGCCTTATATGTTGTTTCGTCTGAAACTGTCTTTCTTTAAATATGTGAAGGCTCATATGCGCGCAGGAGGAGCTTCAAAGGTACAAAACAGAGAATGCTCAGATCAACTCCTGAATTAGATGGAAAACAGTTTGCTGTAATGCATGTGTGTTTTTGCAAGAAATGCATACAGAAAATCAATACACCAGTTGAGTATTAAAACGGAATTAGAGAATGATGAAGTAGATGGCTGTACCATTATTTATCGTGACTATTTTTATATGTATTTTTGTGTACAGTTAGTTTGTACAATTGCTAATAGGTGAATGATGAGATGCTTTTTATTATAATCTCTACCAGTTTCTGCATATTCACCATATTTCTTCAGCTTTTCTTGTATATCCGTTTTACTCATAATGCCTATCTAAAAAAGAGTTACTAGTGGCCTCAAATGTCCATCTAATCTCTTCATTTTTTTATTATTACAATATTTTCAGCAATTTTTTTTTGATTGGTCCTTGTACACGTTTTTTATATAGTACTACGTAATTTTTAACTATTACTCCCTGATAGAGTATATGGGCCTGGACCCCATGGCCCACATACTCAACGGCCCAAAAGACACCAGCAGGACACCCGCATCGTCCAGAGGCGCGCAACGTCCAAGAAAGAAGATATCGACTAGATCCTTGGGCAAAACCCAGGATCCGCATCGTCCATGGACCGCATCGTCCATGGACCGCATCGTCCGGACTTCGTCCAGGCAGAATGTATTTTTCACTATATTTACTAAGTGTTGTACACAGCCCATTAGTGGCCTTATTTCGCCCAAAGAAGGCGTGATTATTGTAATGGGCCTCCTAAGTCCAAGGCTAGGAGCCCAAATCCACATTTTTACCTATAAATAGACCCCAAGGGGCTAATTATAGGGGGTTCCAAGTTGAGAAATATAATTACTCACTTTCTCTCTCTAGCTCTCACTTCTCTCTAGAATTAATACTTTATCATTTGGTGCTTTCATTGAGAGCTTAGAACAGATCAAGTGAGTACCCTTCGTCGCTACCAGACACTACCACTAGCTATGACAAGAACTAGGTCAAAGAACACTGGTAGGAACGCCCCTCTGAACCAGGAAGGGCAGGGAAACGTTGCTGACAACGTCCCCAATGATCTCATCATCCAGGATGAGAACGCTCAGGAGGTCGAACACGCCATGGCTGACCTTCGCACCCAGCTCAACAAGACTGCTCCGGATGCTTGCATCGGATTCGAAGACAGACGCAATGCTGATCGCACTTCGGGGCAGCAGGCTTCTCACCCTGCTGCTCCCCAGATCAACCCGGCCGCATTATCGGCCATCGTTGCAAGCATCCTCCAGGACCCCAACCTAGTCAACGCTCTTGTCGCAAAGACCGGGGAAAACAACACCCCTGCAACTGGGGAGGTCGCGACGGTGCCACCGCCACCGCCTCATCCACAAGGCGTCACCTTCTTCGGCGACAACGAGGACGTCCTCGCCGTGGACACCCATTCCCATACTGCCTCGCCTACACGGGATACACCGGCCCAACCTCGCGGTAAAATCTCAGCCTTCAACAGGCTGGGTGACATCGCGAGCCGTCGGGTACCTACGGGAGGGGTGGCGGATCGGTTGGGTGGCCGCGAGCCGGGATCGCCAAAGGAAAGCCTCGGGTCCGTTTCCCGGACAACGGACCGACCCCGACCAGACAAAGGAAAAGGAAAGCTGAATGACGACGATGCGCGTCACCGAATCAACCTGGCCCACGCGGCCCGGATCCAGACCCCTCTGGGTGGCGCTGCGGCCAACACGGACCCAAGGGACGAAATCATTGCCCGCCTAGAGAAGCGCCTCGCTGACATGGAGGCTCGGGAGGCCGCAGGGCGTGCAGCGGCTCATACATCCCAGCATCCCAACTACGACGCGCTCCTGAACAAGGTCAGTGCTCTGGAGAGAGAGTTGGCCGACCGGCGCGACGAGCCAGTCATCCAGATAAGAACAAAGACCCCCTTCTCCGCGAGGGTGATCTCCGCCCCCATCCCGGAGAAGTACAAGGGGAATCCGATCAAGCCGTATGACGGCCGAACTGATCCCCAGGAGCACTTCACCCGCTATCAGAACAATATGATGATGACAAACGCTTCGGAAGAATACATGTGTCGCTGGTTCCTCTCCACCTTGGAGGGACCAGCGTACGATTGGTTCAACAACCTTCCGGAAGGGAGCATCGACTCATGGCAGGACCTAGCTCAGCGCTTCCTCACCCACTTCGCCGGGAGGAAGCGTGCGAAGAAGCATTTCACACACCTCCTGACCATCAAACAACAACCGGAGGAGACGCTCCGAGCCTTCCTCGACCGCTGGACAAGGGAGGCGGACGAGTGCGAAGGAGCCGATGAACGCACCCTCCTGGCCTTCCTCCGCGGAGCACTCCGGCCGAGCCACTTTGCCCGGAGTCTGTTCACGGAGCCCCCGCGGTCATACCTCGCGGCGCTCCGACGCGGAGACAGGCACGCTGACGCCGACGAACTCCTGAACCAAAAGAAGGGTGGGGAGAGGCAACAGAAGAAGGACTCCTCGTCCAACCCCCACCATGCGCCAACCAACAAGGGGCAGAACCAGCAAGAGAAGGCACACCAGGAGCCAGGCGGACAGCGAAGAGAGGATCGTTCATGGCGTCCAAAGTTGGAGGCACAACGCATCCCCCTCACCCACCCGGTGAGCGTCGTCCTTGACCACGCTGAGGCGCAGGGCCTCATTGTGAAGGACCCCAGATCAGAGGAGGAGATATTTGCGGTCCACAAAGGAGGGACATATTGCAAGTACCACCGCCAGACATCCCACAAGACCGAGGATTGCACCACCCTGAAAAGGCACATTGACGGCCTCGTCCGACAGGGGGAACTTTCCCAATTTGTCAAGGGTGCCCCCAAGAGTAACACTTGGGTTAACCCTGGCAAAAGGGGGGAAGGATCCTCCAGGAAAAAGAGGGAGATCGGCGCCCTCAGCGAAGACGAGGAAGAGGAAGAACCCCGTCAGAAGAAGCATCACATTCATATCATCATCGGCGGAAATACAGGGGGGGACTCGGCCACACAACGGAAAAAATGGGCTCAGTCCCTATACGTTGGTGAGGTGTCCCATGCCCCCCCTCAGCCAAAGCGACGGCATGTGGAGGCCATCACCTTCACTGACAAGGACCTCCCCTTCGGCCCTTTGCCCCACAGAGACGCCCTCGTCGTCAAATGCGAGATTGGCAACAACATTATCCACCGCAACTACATCGACACTGGCAGCTCCGTCAATGTAATGTATGTGGATACCTTCAAACAGCTAAAGCTGAAGAAGACCGAGCTCAGGCCGATACGGACTCCGTTATCCGGCTTCACCGGGGACTCTATCGACGCCGAGGGCACAATAGTGCTTCCCGTTGTGGTCGGTGACGGTACCTATCAGGCAAAGATTGACATGGAGTTCGTGGTCGTCAACCTGGACAGCGCCCACAACATGATCTGGGGCCGACCGGCCTTGGAGGACCTTGAGGCCATCATCTCCATGAAACATCTATGCCTCAAGTTCCCCACCAAGGACGGCGTCGGCTATGCCAGAGGAAACCAGAAGATAGCCAGGGCTTGCTACCTGAAGCTTACAAAGAAGATCAATGAGGCCGAGGAGCGGATAGACACTATCACCACCGCCTCGGCCAAAGAAGACACACCAAAAGCCGAACCGGTCGGGGACGTGGAAGAGGTTCCGTTGGACGTCTCTCGGCCGGAACGTGTGCTGAAGATCGGGACCCAGCTCCCCCAAGATATCCGAAGGGACATACTCTCCGTCCTGAGAGCGTACGCCGTCGTCTTCGCATGGGGACCAGAGGACATGCCAGGCATCAGCCCAAAGGTGATCACACACCGACTCTCAGTCGAACCGGCCTCCTCCCCCATCAAACAGAAGAAGCGCTACCTATCAGCCGACAGGAGAGAATTCGTCAAGGCCGAGGTGGCCATGTTGCTCTCCATCAAGCACATCAAAGAGGTGAAGTACCCCACGTGGTTGGCGAACGTCGTCCTCGCCCCAAAGCCGCCTACGTTCAGAATGTGTGTTGATTACACTGACCTGAACAAGGCGTGCCCAATGGACCCATTCCCTCTCCCCAACATTGATCAGTTGGTGGATGAGACGGCGGGGTGCGAGTTGATGTCGTTCCTCGACGCGTTCAGAGGGTACCACCAGATATCCATGCATGAAGATGACGCGGAGAAGACTGCTTTCATGACTCCGGAGGGGATCTTTTGCTACCTCGTCATGGCCTTCGGCCTCAAGAACTCCGGCGCCACCTACACAAGGATGGTAGCCCGGATTTTTAGAGCAGTCCTGGGCCGGACGATGGAAGCATACGTCGATGACATGATCGTCAAAAGCAAACAATCTACCACACATGCCGACGACCTCCGGGGCATCTTCGAGATCATGAAGAGATACAACCTCCGGCTCAACCCGAAGAAGTGCACCTTCGGCGTCCACGGAGGTAAATTTCTAGGCTACCTGGTCAGCCGAAGGGGCATTGAAGTAAACCCGGAGAAGATACAAGCCATTATCAACATGGAGCCACCCCGCAACATCAAAGAAGTGCAACGGCTGACGGGACGCCTTGCGGCCTTGAACCGTTTCCTTTCAAAGTCCGCGGAAAAATCGCTCCCCTTCTTCCAGATAATGAGGAAGGCCACCAGCTTCAAATGGACGACGGAGTGCCAACAAGCCTTTGAAGAGCTGAAACAATATCTCGCCTCCCCACCCGTCCTATCCAAGCCCCAACTCGGCGAGACTCTCTTCCTTTACTTAGGAGTGAGAACGTCGGCCGTCAGCTCTGTACTCATCAGGGAGGATGACGGGATACAAAAGGCAATATTCTACGTCAGCAAGATGCTATGGGAGGCCGAGCTCAGGTACTCCCCCATTGAGAAGACGGTGCTGGCCATCGTCCACACGGTGAAGAAACTTGGGCACTATTTCCAGGCTCACCCCGTCCATGTCCTCACGCATCAGCCGTTTGGCGCCCTCATGAGGAGCCCAACCAGCTCTCCAAGGATGATCAAGTGGGCAATATTCTTGAGCCAGTACCAGATTGAGATCAAGCCGAGGCCTTCTATAAAAGGGCAAGCCTTGGCTGACTTCGTCACCGAGTGCACGGCAAGGGAGACGGCCGTTACCACCGCAGGAGCTGAACCAGACGAAGCCTGGACCCTCTACACGGACGGGTCCTCGGCCACCAAAGCTTGTGGGGGTGGCGTCGTCCTCATCTCCCCAGAAGGATTCAGAGCGTACTACGCCATCTGCTTCAACTTTAAAGTATCCAACAATGAGGCCGAGTATGAAGCGCTCCTCAACGGGCTCAGACTAGCCGCTGGCCTCAAAGCACGCCACATC